TTAAAAAATAATTTTTGTGAAAGGCTATAGAATTTCCATTACTTCCAAAAAATCGAATTACGAATTCAGCTGTATCCGCTTGTGTAACGAAATGTATTAAGTCATGCAGTCATTCATCCATCCATCTATCCGTTCATCAATCAATCAAAAGGAAAGAAAAGAAGGAATATCCCTACCAATAGCACCTTTTTCCTCATTGACATCAAGTAAGGAGTTTGTGTGTCTGTTTGACTCTCTCATTAGATCAAAGAAGGTTCAGGTGCACTCAACTCAACATAACTCATCATTTATTCCCCCTGGTTTCCTTCATTTTTTTAGCAGCAAGCGCCAAGTTTCAAGGTGTAGGGAATAACAGAAATATTACACCTGCTTTTAAGTGTGTGTGTGTGTGTGAGTGGTGCGTTGTTCATGATGTAGGTGAACAAGTGATCCTTTTAAGAGGATCCTTTACCCATGCAAGCTGCAAGTGTAATTCTCCTTGTTGTAGCGGTTTGTCAATTTAGACACGTGCCCGGGCCGCCAACCACAAAGTGAATGGCCCTTAAGCATATTTACGTTTTTAATCCCCCCTTTATTATTTCTGGACAAAATAATAATAAATGAAATGCATACCGACACCTGCTCGCTCGCTCTCCTGTTCTCTCCCCCATAAAGAGAAAAAGGAATATGAGAATGAATGACGTATGATGTTGGCACCATAAATACAGATGTATGTGGAGGACTACTTTAACTTGTCATAGTTTGGTGGTTCTGTTTTCTGTCAGGAGAGTGTTTTTTGTGGTATTAAAAATGCATATAACGGAAATTTTATGTTTTTATTGTAAGCCAAGCTAACATGCAATGTTGTGCATAAAATTCATAATGAATTAGAATAATTTTTTAGAAGTTCTACTTTTTAAAAAGGGATTTGGGTTTGGGTTAGGTGGAGTGTCTAGTTTCGAAGTAGAAATGATTTTAAAAACTAGCAGGTTATGTAAAATTCCTAAAAAAATTAAATATGGGGAGAGGAAAGTAAGATTGGATTCAACGCCACATCTCTATTGCTCATTTTTTTAAAAAAAAATGGCCAGTAACTGTGACCTTTTGAACACTGTTCTTCAATCTCTCTTTCACTCACTCTCAGTCCAAAATAACATATAATTCCCTAAAATATACGAATTATTTTCTTTATCTGTGTAATTTGTTGATTTATTGCCCTCAACTCCTTCATCTTCTCTCAGATTTTTGTCAGTCTTAATCTATGTATACATTTTCTTAAATTTAGGAATTTAGGTAGGTCATGGAAAAATACAACTTACGAATATAAGCTGTATTTTTCTATGATCTACCTGAGAGAAAGTGACATTTTCAGAAACACTGCAGTTCCTTGTTATTCACTCTCAGTTTCAAACTATGTATAACTTTCCTAAAATCTTGGAATTATTTTCGTAGTCTTAAGTTTTTCTCATTTATTGGCCTCAACTCCTTCGTCTTCTCTCCGATTTTTGTCAATCTCAAACTATGTATAAATTTCATTCAATCTAGGAATTATTTTCGTAAGCTTTATTTTTCCTTCAGCATTTTTATTAAATTATTTATACTTTTCATATACTGATCTACCTGAAAGAAAGTGAAGTTTTTTGCCAGTTAAAAAAATCGAACACTCTTCTTCACTCTATCTCTCTCTAGCTAAAATCTACGAACTATTTTCATAATCTGTGTTTCTTCCTCAGATTTATTGCTCATTTTTTTTTAATTTGTCAATTACCTGTAAAAAGGTGAACTTTTTCTGGAACACTGCATGTCGCTCTTTCGCTTACTCTCAGTCTCAAACTATGTATAATTTTCCTAAAATCTAGGATTTTTTAGTAATTTGCGTCTTTCCTCTGGTTTATTGCCTTAACACTCTTCTTCGATCTTCGTCAGTCACAAAATTACTTCTTGAATTATTCTGATTAATTATTCTTTTCCATTCTTTTTGATTTTTTTGTTTTGTTAAAATAAGACGGACAATTTTAGCTCACTCTCAAAGTATGTATAATTTTCATATAAACTAGGAATTATTTTCATAATACGAATTTTTTGATCTGAACCTTTGCCCTCAACTTGTACTTGTACTCTCTCCGATATCTGTCAGTTTCAATTTATGTATAATTTTCCTAAAATCGAGGAACTATTTTCATAATCTGTATCTCTTTTGTGATTTATTGCCTTAAGCTCTTTTCTCTTCATTTTGATTTCTTCACCAACTTTTAATTTATTTGAAAATTTCCTAAAATCTATGTTTACTGATATTTATGCCTTGCCCTGAACTCCTTCGCAATTAACCTCCGATTGCAGTCAGTGTCAAACTATGTATACTGTTCCTAAAATCTAGGAACTATTATCATAATCGGAGTTTTTTTAATTTATTGGCTTAAGTTCTTTCTCTTTATGGTGATTTCGTATATAAAGAATTTTTCCGCTTTGTGAATTACTCCCACTCTCTCTCTCTCTCTCTCTTTAGTTTCTTTTCTTTTCTCACCGTTCATAACAATTGAATTTCGGATTTAATAATTTTATTTTATATTTAAGACTTGGATTTTCAACACCACAACATTGTGTCCAGCATAAGCTACCTCTGGCTTCCTTCTAATTTCTCGTTCTTAAGAAAAAAGTTCCGCCAGAAGCTTCTAAACCTTGGCCACAACTTCTTACTACTGTTTCCTGTTTTTCTCTCCGTCAAAAACAATTTCATGCCACATTTTCCATTCCAGTCCTCAGTTGGAAATATGGATTACAGTGATCAATGATTTTGCAACAACAACACCAACAAATTACAGTTAGTGGTGAAAACAACAAAGTTATCAATAACAACAAAAACAATTTCTTTGGCAATGATCATGAGAGGCCAGAGCCAAGATGCGGCTGATGATCATAGTATTTGTGATTATAATAATATTTTGTTGTTGTTGTTATTATTATGATGATCAGCCCAAAGCCAAGTATGCAATAGGGAGCAGTAGTAGTTGCAGTGAGTGCCCAGCTTTTGGCCACTGTTGTTGTTTTTTCTGCTTCTTCTTCTTCTTTCATTTCCTTGCATTTTAGTTTTCTCTCTTCCTTGGCCTAATATCTATAATCAGCAACACGTACACATAATATTGTCCAAAGCACTGTTATTAGCGTAATCAAATGGGAATTATCTGTGGTGAAGATCGAACTTGTTACTTATGGTATGGTATGGAGGTATGATGGGGTATGGCAGTATGGTGTACTGGAATGAAGTGAAGAGAAGCTATGATGATGGTGATGCCAATGATGATGTATGTGCCATGGCAAAAAAGCTAGACCATACCATTCTTGGTGTTACAGTGTGGCATGCCACCGGTTGGTTGCATACACATACACACAAGCTTACACACCTTATGTGTGTCATAATCTATGGTAATCCATCTTGACAGAGGTAACACTTTATTTAAGAGGAAGGGGTTTACAGGAGTCTTACAAATGGTTTCGTATGTATGGGAGCCTCAAATAGGTGTTTCATGTGTATGGCTGCCTTCCAAATGTGTTCCATCTGTATATGAGAAAATGTTATTTTATTTTTTGGAAATTGTTTTCAAAATTTATTTCAATTGCCTTTAATTTTTCTTGGCTGGATCTCCTAAGGCTCTCTCTCTTGGGTCATGGGTTTATTTTTTATATATGAAAAAATTATTTAATTATTTTTGTGTGTGTGTATTTTTTCTTAAATAACAATAACACAATTATATTAATAATGATTGTAAAACAACAGCAGCAACAACAACAACGCAAAAAAATAATAAAACATAACTGCACCCCTTAAGAAAAAATATTTGCAGATTATGGCTAATCCACATAAAGCGGCAGCAGCTGCTGCTGTGGCTGCTGCCGTTATTATGATTATTATTGATACTCCAACAAAAAAAGAGCTTTACAACAACATGGCTTACAGCTATGACCAACAACAATACCATAATGCCAAAGAAGTTGCGGCAAAAATTTAAATGCACATAAATCTCACTTGGTGTCCGCCAAATTATAGTTTTCGAAAAAACATTAGCTTACACTTTGAGTCGGACTAAAGGAAGGTGATGCCAGTCAGCCAGTCCACCGATCGGCCGGCCACCACATGGCAGTCTAAAAAAATATGTGGCAAGGACAAATGTTGTTGGTAGGCAAATAAGCATTGTTTGTTGCATTTGATCCGTATGGATCATGGAAAGATCGATGCTGGATCCATTGGCTTGATCCCAATCTTTTCGTATACGATTGACTGCCGTTCGGAGGATTGATGATCGATTGATCTGCTTTTCCTAACTTAAGGGTATCAAGAAGGTTTAACGCAATGGTTTATGATACAAATTAAACAATTTATGACGACAGCATAAACTAAGGCAAAACTTATGTAATCGGCAATAGTAAGTGTGCGGCTTCCTTGGCCCAACATATGATTACGGCGGATAGTCAACTTTGTTGTTGGTGGTGGTGGAGTGGCGAAGTTTTCCTTGCGTTCCACCATAACCTGGTGGAGAGTCATAAATTAAAACACTCGCCTGGCTTGGCCTACTCTTTGTTCTGTTGCTCCAGTCAAGCTTCCATTTGGTTACTCTCGCATCGTCAACACCATCCAGGGACCTGCATTGAGGTCGGTGGTGTCGGCGTTATTTTGAGTTTTATGAAAAGATCATTTATTATAAATCGTTATCGCTTCTGGTCTCAAAATGCAAACACACAACTCAAACACAACTTGATGTTGTTGTTGTTTTCATGTTGTAAACGCTTTGTTGCACATTGTGTAGCAACATCTGTTTGTTTGTTGCTTGGTTTGGTGTTTTGTGCCCTGCAAAATTCCGGCTGTGTATGTATGGTAATTGATTTAATGCCTGGCATATCTCGCACCTTTTAATATCTTATTGTCTTATTCTTCTCATTGTTGTTGTTTTTATTTTTTATTATGATTTTTTACAATTTATTTATATCAAAAATTTATTTTTCTTCTCTGTTTTTTTTTCTTTCAGCATCCCGTATGCCCTCCTCACACACATCACCGCAAATGTGTCGGCCTCACTTCCATACGCCTCTTAGCTCATGGCTTACCAGCGAACATAAATCATTTGCACCCGCCAGTCCATGGGGCAGTCCGTTTGCCTGTCCCCAAGAGCCCCAGGTCGATCACAAGCTAAGTCAGGTGGGGCAAACGCATCAGACGACATCGACCGGCCAGCATTCATTTCCATTTCCTCCCACACCGCCAAAGGATTCAACGCCCGATTCAGTACAAACCGGTCCATCCGAATATCAGGTAAATTTTTGTAGAAAAAAACCAAAAACAACAATATAAAAATTTAATTTCATTGTCATAAATTTTTATAAAAATTTCAATTTTATGCATTTTTACAAAAAAAAACAATTTTATGAATTTTTATAAAAATTCCAATTTTTATGAATTTTTATAAAAATTTAAATTTTTATGAATTTTTATAAAAAAATCATTTTTATGAATTTTTTTAAAAAAATCATTTTTATGAATTTTTATAAAAATGTCATTTTATTTTTATAAAAATTCATAAAAAATATTTTTATATAAATTCAATTCATGAATTTTTATAAAAATTTCATTTTTATGAATTTTTATTAAAATTTAATTTTTTATGAATTTTTATAAAAATTTAAAATTTTTATGAATTTTTATTAAAATTTTATTTTTTATGAATTTTTATAAAAATTTAAATTTGTATAAATTTTTATAAAAATTTCAATTTTTATGAATTTTTATAAAAACTTCAACTTTTATAAAAATTTCAATTTTTATTTTGAATTTTTATAAAAATTTCAATTTTTATGAATTTTTTATAAAAAATTTCAATTTTTATGAATTTTTATAAAAAATTTCAATTTTTATGAATTTTTATAAAAATTTCAATTTTTATAATTTTTTTTTTATGAATTTTTATAAAAAAATTATTTTTATATGAATTTTTATAAAAATTGCAATTTTTATGAATTTTTAAAAAATTTCAATTTTTATGAAAAAATTTTCATTTTTATATGAATTTTTATAAAAATTTATTTTTTTATGAATTTTTATAAACATTTCAATTTTTATAAAAAATTTATTTTTTTGAAAAAAAATTCATTTGTAAGATTTTTTTTAATTTCAATTTTCATTTTTATGATTTTTCTAAAATCTATTTTTTATTAAAATTACATTTTCTCCTCTTCTTTCCAGGCTGTGGTAAATGCCTTCATGCATCAGGCCCAGGCAACGGGTAGCAGTTCCCTGCCCGATACCAGCTGTGCTTTGGACATCAAACCCACCATACAAAATGGTAGCAGTTCATCGCTGCACAATGGTGGCGGCAGTGGTGGCGCAGGAGCTGGTGGACAATCCTCAGCACCTAAACAACGTGAAGGTACTACAGCCACAAATAGCAATAGCAACAACAACAATAATAACAGTACAACAAATAATAATAATGCCAACAATACACAACACAACAGCAACAATCAAACGCATAACTCTGCCTCAGCCACCTCAACGGTGGGTGGAGGAGCCTCCGTATCAAGGTCATCGGCCTCCTCACATCACACGACCGGCAGCAGCAACAACAATAACGCGAACAATAATTCTGCCAACAACAGTAATAACACCACACCTACCGCCCATCATTCCGCCCACTCCAGCAGTAGCAGCAGCAGTAATGCTCTGCTCAATGGCCTTGGCAATGCTGCCGGTAGCCTATTCGATGGTACGGCCCAAGCCTCCTATGGTAGCTCAATGGGTCTTAGCAATGGCACGAATGTCAATTCCGCTGCCAATAGTTATGATGGCACCTATGCCTCCTATGCTGCCCATCATCATGCCCAGCAACAAGTGGCGGCGGCCGCTATGTTCCAATCGTCCTCAATGGCAGCGGCAGCAGCTGCCCGCCATCATCATCATCACAGTCATGGTCATCATATGCATCATCATGGTGGTGCTGGTGGTGGTATGGGTTCGTCGGGATTGGGTTCGGGGTCATCATCGGCCGGTGGCAGTATGGGTGGAGGTCTTGGCGGAGGTGCTGGTGGTAGTAGTCATAACATGAGTGGTTCTTCGCTATTGGGCAATATGGGTCAGAGTGGTGGTGGCGGGGGCTCCAGTGGTAGCGGTGATATTAAGCCGGCCCGTACAAAACCTAGGACAAGTGCTGGTAAGCAAGACACACACACACACGCACGCAAAAATAAAAAAATTAAATAAATATTTGTGTAATGGTGTGGGTGGATTAAACTAAAAAAAAAAATAAAATACTAACACACATACAAAAACACCATATATTTTTTATTTGAATATTATTAATTTTATTTGATATTTTTTATATATATACAATATTTTTTTAATTGTCTTTTTATTGATTTTAAGATTTTTTAAACATTATTTTTTGTATTTTTAAATAACTAAGTTTTTGTTTTGGTTTCCTTAAGTCCTGACAACAAATATTGAGAATTTTTTTAGTAAATTTTTGTAGGATTTTTTTTATAAAAAAAATATTTTTTTTTTAAATTATTTGTGAAAAAAGTATTTTAGATAGAAAAAAATATTTTTTTTGTAAAAAAGAATATTTTTTTGATTTTTTTTTTATAAATTTAGGATTTAAAAGATAGGAAATTTGAAAAAGAAACATTTTAAATATTAAAACAAATCTAGAAAATTAAAAAAATTTTAACAAAAAAAAAAAAAAAATTTCTAAATTTTTTTCAACTTTTTTTGGATTTTTTTTAATTTTTTTTTCTTTAAAAAAATATTTTTTTATTGTTTGGGAAAAAATATTTTAGTTAGAAAAAAATACCTTTAACAAAATTTTGTTTTTCTAAATTTTTTTTTGGAATTTTTAAAATTTTTTTCTTTAAAAAATATTTTTTTGTGAAAAAATATTTTAGTAAGAAAAAAATACTTTTAGTAAAAAAAAATATTTTTTAGATTTTTTATCAATTTAGGAATTAAATGTCAGGGAATTTGAAAAAAAAAAACATTTTAAAGATTAAAACAAATTTAGGATATCCAAAAATGTCTAAAAAAAAAATATTTTTTTTCTAATTTTTTTTCCAAATATTTTTTGTGAAGCTTTTTTTATAAATTTTTTTCTTTAAAAAATATTTTTTTATTTAATTTTTTTTTTGTATTTAAAAAAAATATTTTTTATTGTGTTTTTTTTTTTTTTTTTTTTTTGTTTGGTTCAGTGTACTTGACATGTTTGCAGTCATTCTCATTTACTCATGCCTCAAGCTTCTTCCTCTGTGTTCGGTAAAAAATGCTTTACTCCACATTCTCATCATTTTATTTGCCTACAACACTATACCCCAAAATTGTATCAAAGAAGTCGAAACCCAGGGTACTTAGATTGTAAATAAAGTGTATCCAGTGTGGCGGGGCACTTGAGCATGAACTCCGCCACAACCACCAGCAACAAAAAAATTCTCAAAAAAATCTCAAAACCATTGTTTGCCAAATAATGATTACACGTCACTTGGTAGTTGGCGTTGTATGTATGAGTGTGTGGCGGCGTGTGAACCTTCGTCATCTAGCTCCGGCCTCTCTCGTGGGCCTGCATTGCTGCTCTACGCAGTGACAATGGTGAATGTGCAACATTTTTTGTGTGGCATTGTTATTTTGCATTCCGTTACATGCCTTAACCCTTTGTGTTTATTTTTTCTCAATTGTGCGAACATAAAAACAACAACAACAAAAATTGCAAGACAGGCAAGTGTCTTAAAACTGGAGTAGTCTCTTCAAGAAACAGAAATAATGCTTTTAATTGCAACTTGTCCGGGGAGTAGTTTGTCATCATCATCAGCCAGGGAGGCAGTCAGTCAGGCACATTATGATTATGAGGCTTGCGTTAATTACAGGTTAATTATGGCCACGTACATAACATATATATGTGAGCATTAGGGAAAATTACAAACAAACATTAAGGAGAAGAATAAAAGAAAATATTTAGAATTGACAGGAAAAATAAAAAAAATATTTTCAATTCATCAACTTAAAATCCCCACCTACCAAAAAATCTTTACAAAACCCCATTCCCTTTAATTTACATAAAAATTTCCCTAACTCCCATAGAAATCCCCATTGAGTAGAAAGAAAAATATATATTTTATGTTGTGAAAAAAGTTTTTTTCTTACCACAAATTTTATTTTTATTGCACTGTGGCTTATTAAGGCACCACAAATGCTTTTTTTGCAAAGAATGTTTTCCAAAAAAAATACCGCACACAAAAAACTTGCAAAACTTTACCCGGCGAACATACATAATTCTACAAAGCATGTTTGGCCATACTTCCACATACTTGCTGCATACATACATTAGTTTATTTCTGTTCGTTTGTTTGTCTGTCTGTTCACCGTCGCCGTTGTGAGCCGTTGAAATATGCGCGGAAGTGCTTGCAGTTGTTAACGATGTATAACACCTGCTACGTTTTTTTGTTTTTGGCCGGTTTTAAATATTCTATTCTATTTGCAACCTGAAACTGGCAAACGGCAGCCACAGCAGCAGGAGTTTAAGAATAAAAACCAAACAACAACAAAAAATAAACTTTCAAACAAACTGGAAATAACATTTTCATTCTCCAAAATGTGGTTTGTAGGCGATGATGGTTTGTTTTTTAGTTGGTAAAGAATAGCTTTCCTTGTTAGTTTATCAAGCCGTTAATTAATGACTTACAATTCATGGCGGGTTATTGTCATTTTCCTGTGAGCAAGCAAAAATAAATGGGAAGAATAACAAACGAAAAATGGTCTTCACACTTTCAGTTTCAGGAAAGAATATATTTTCTTTTGGAATTAAATTACAATTGAATATTTATAAACACTTTGTGTCTTAAGTCTTTCATTATGGCGTGTAACAAAAACATTCGATAAAATAAAAATATCAATTTAAATATTTTTTGTTCATTTTCGACTCTTTAAAAGTTTGTTTCTTAAGTCTTTCATTTTACGCTGTAACAATAAAATTCGATAAAACAAAAAAATATCAATTTAAATATTTCTTGTTAATTTTCGATTCTTTTTAAACAAATTTAAAAATATGTTTTTAATATACATCTTGTATTAATTTTGAACAATTATTTTCCACATTTTTAATTTTATAAATTTTTGATATTTTTTTTTAAATCTGGAAAAATATTTTTTATTTTAGAAATAATATATTTTATATATCGAATTATATATATTTAATTTTTTATACAAATTTATATTTTTATATTCTATTTTGAAAATATTATTTAGTTAATGATTTTTGCTTCTAAAATTTTTTATTTAAATTTTCGAATTTAATTTTTTTTTTTTTTTGAATTTTCGAATTTAAAATATTTTTTCAAATTAAAATTGTTTTTAAAATTTTTGAATTTTAATTATTTTTTAAATTTTCGAATTTAAATTATTTTTTTTAATTTTCGAATATAAATTAATTTTTAAATTTTCGAATTTATTTTTTTTTTTGTTTTCTCAAATATAACATTTTTGTTTTGATTTTTATTTTAAGCACATCTTAGCTAGAGTTTTCATGAAAAGTTCCCAACGCTTGTGTCTTAAGTCTTTTGTTTCCGTCCCCCACTAGTTGCAAACCTTTTTCTGGCGCTCTATCTCTCTCTCACCACATGTTGGGGATTTTTTATTATATCATTATCCTTCCCTTTCCTCTCCCATATAGAACATTTTATTTTCTAAACTTTTTAATTGTTTTTAATATTTGAATTATTTTTTTGTTTTTAATTTTTAAATTATATTTAATTTTTAAAATTTATATTTATTTTTTTTCATTTTATTCGAATTTACTTTTAATAAATTTAAAATTATCTAATTTCTATTTAATGTTCATTGTTTGTTATAGTTCTATCTCTCTCTTAAAAAGTCCTTATCGCTTGTGTCTTAAGTCTTTTGTGTTCGTTCCCATTAATTGCCGTTTCTCTCTCTCTCACATTTTGGCTAAGAAATGTTACTTCACACTCTTCCGATAACATTTTTATATCAACAGTTTTTTTGTTTTTAATTAATTTTATTTTTTTTTATTACAATTCTTTTTTATTTTCTTAATTACAAATTTCTTTTAATTTTATTTAAAATTCCCCACAAATTATTATAAAGGCAATTATTTTGATAGAGCACGCTCTCGCTCTCTCTCCCTTTCAATATCCCCAACGCTTGTGTCTTAAGTCTTTTATTTGTGACTGCACTCATTATTAACTGAAAGCCCGTTATTTGTTAGAGCTCTCTTTCTCTCTCTGACTCTTTACCTTTAAAACACCCAACGCTTGTGTCTTAAGTCTTTTGTGTTTGCTAACCATTAGTTGCAATCCCTTTCTTTAACTCTCCCTCTCTCACACAAACAAAATTGTCAACATTTTTGGGAATTTCTTGCTGCTTAACATCACTCTCCCTCCCATTTCTCTCCCCCGCCACCTTCCCTCTCTCACTCCTTCTCACCAACTTTTTTCACATCCCAACCCATATCATCATGCTCAAGCAAAAGATAATCTATCTATTCGTATTGAGGGCGTAAGAACATATGTTTGTTTGTGTGCACAATGTTGTTGTTATTCGCATTGTTTGTTACTATTGTTGTTGTTCGTTCGTTTTGGTTGTTTGTTTGCATTCAAGAAATAACTTTTTGTCACAAAAACTACCATTCTTTTTGGAACAATACACAATATTTTTGTTGTTGTTGTTGGGGGGCAAATAAAATTGATTGGAATTGGCTGATGTTGTTGGTTTTGTTGTTGTTTGCTTGTTTTGTCTCTCTCTGTTTGTGTCAGGTGAAAAATCCTGCAAATAAATCGACAACAATAAGACATATCATTTGAGAGGGTATAAAATACCACCAACCAAAAAAAAAATGCATTGTCTTTAAGAAGGAGCTGAAGTAGAAGGATGAAAATTGAAGAAGATGAAGGAAGAAATGTTTTAAAAAAATACCACAAAATTGCTGTCATGCATGGAGTTTAAGTAATTGATATGGGTATCACAAAAAAAAAAAGAAAAACAACAACAAAACCCCCTTTTGCCAAGATCAGCTTAAAAGCAACGGTTAAGCATTGTTTGGCCAGGTCTGGCCATAGCCACATCTTGGTGGCTGGCTGTTTTTAGTTGTCATTGACAGTTTCTAAAGAAGTTTTTTTTTGTTGTTGTTTCTTGAAGTCTGCCAATGATGTG